ACCTCTATTTATAGATGCATCACTACGAAAGCCTTGCCTATCAAGAAGCATTCGAGTGTCCTTTTTGCATTAGAATAGGTTTGTTTCAATCCATGTTGTATTAGGAATCCTGATAACACTTGTGTTTGATTTTAATAAGCTTTGTACAAGCATTATCTACTGAGGATTGAGTTGTATCTCCTGATCAAACCAAAACCCGAATCCTCTTAGGATTAGAAGATCACCTTTTATGGATTAAGACAATAAATTGTCTTACATTCTCCCACTTGATCGATTAATCCCAAAGTTTTGTGTTGATCACTTAAGGCCTTGGTGAAATATAACTCAATCTGATTCCATCAAGCAATTGTCAATTTTAAAGAATGAAAAGGAACCATCAAGACTTCACTGAATATATAAGGATCCAGAGTCTTTATAATCACATTGATCATTCTTTAAAACCACATAAGCTTCCATCAAGATTAAACAGAAAAATAAACATGTTTCACTGTAAAGCTTTATGAACATGTCTATTCATTGTCCCTTAATTTGACTACTAAGGTCTTATCATTTAAAATGATATCCTGTCACGAATGAAAATCATATGCAGACATCTTTAGCTAGCTTTCTGCTCATTATAAGAATATATATACATAACAATTAAACGTGTAAACTGTTTAACTAGAAAACTTTATTTCTGAATCAGAAACTGAAATCAACATCCATCGAAAACCATAACCAACTGTAAATTAAGACTTTAACAGAAAACTACTCTAAACTTAACAAGGCTCCCACTGATTTAAGCATTCAAATCATTCCTTAATCCCATGCTCATAACATGCCTATGGAACACTGCATTTGGGACTCCTTTTGTGAGAGGGTCTGCTATCATTTTGTCTGTACTGATATGACTTATATTAGTATAGCCTTGAGCAATTTTCTCCTTCACTATTATGAACTTGACATCCAATAGTCTTGAACCCTTTGTCCTTTTGTTTCCTTTTGCAAACAAAACAGCTGCGCTGTTGTCATTCCATATTTGAATTGGTCTGTGTATCGATTCAACCACATTCAAACTGATAATGAAATTTCTTAACCATATGGCTTGAGAGGTGGCCTCATAGCATGCTAGAAACTCTGCAAACATAGTTGAACCTGCTGTCAAAGGTTGTTTTACACTTCTCCACGACACTGCACCTCCTCCAAACATGAATACAAAACCTGATGTTGATTTCATGGAGTCTTGACATCCTGCAAAATCAGCATCTGCATAACCTTGTAATTCCAGCGTGCCACTTCTTTTGAATGTTAGTTTGTAATCTTTTGTCCTTTGCAAGTATCTTAACACTCTTTTCCCTGCAATCTAGTGAGCTTGTCCAGGATTGGATTGAAATCTTCCTAGCACACTGACTGCAAAGGCCAAGTCAGGTCTGGTACAAACCTGCGCATACATTAGGCTTCCAACTAGTGAAGCATATAGTTTATCAACCATTTCCAGCTTTTCTTGCTTAGTCTTAGGTGCTTGTTCAGTGCTTAGCTTATCCCCTTTTGCAATAGGAATATCACTTCCTGTGCAGTTTTGCATATTGAATCTCTTGAGCACCTTTTCTATGTAGGATTTTTGTGATAGTCCAAGTACCCCATTCTTTCGATCTCTGCTTATATCAATGCCTAAAACATATGATGCCTCAGCTAGATCAGTCATTTCAAAATTCTTAGATAGGAAATTCTTGCAGTCATGTAACATGGTGAGATTTGTGCAGGCTAGTAAAATGTCATCTACATACAAAACTAGTAAAATGAAATGTCTCCCACTCATCTTCATGTATATGCATTCATCTAAAACATTTTCAACAAAACCAAAGTCTTTCACTACCTTGTTGAACTTTAGGTACCACTGTCTAGAGGCTTGCTTTAATCCATAGATTGACTTGTTTAGCTTGCAGACCAAGTTCTTTCCCCCTTCTTGAACAAAACCTTCAGGTTGCACCATGTATATGTCTTCTTCCAAATCTCCATTTAGGAAAGCTGTCTTGACAAGGTTGTTTTACACTTCTCCACGACACTGCACCTCCTCCAAATATGAATACAAAACCTGATGTTGATTTCATGGAGTCTTGACATTCTACAAAATTCTTGCTAGAAGAAATGGGTAAAGAAATAGTTCGCCAAGAGTCACCATCTGAGCCAGGCAAGTCAGGTCTGGTACAAACCTGCGCATACATTAGGCTTCCAACTAGTGAAGCATATGGTTTGTCAACCATTTCCAGCTTTTCTTGCTCAGTCTTAGGTGCTTGTTCAGTGCTTAGCTTATCCCCTTTTGCAATAGGAATATCACTTCCTGTGCAGTTTTGCATATTGAATCTCTTGAGCACCTTTTCTATGTAGGATTTTTGTGATAGTCCAAGTACCCCATTCTTTCGATCTCTGCTTATATCAATGCCTAAAACATATGATGCCTCAGCTAGATCAGTCATTTCAAAATTCTTAGATAGGAAATTCTTGCAGTCATGTAACATGGTGAGATTTGTGCAGGCCAGTAAAATGTCATCTACATACAAAACTAGTAAAATGAAATGTCTCCCACTCATCTTCATGTATATGCATTCATCTAAAACATTTTCAACAAAACCAAAGTCTTTCACTACCTTGTTGAACTTTAGGTACCACTGTCTAGAGGCTTGCTTTAATCCATAGATTGACTTGTTTAGCTTGCAGACCAAGTTCTTTCCCCCTTCTTGAACAAAACCTTCAGGTTGCACCATGTATATGTCTTCTTCCAAATCTCCATTTAGGAAGGCTGTCTTGACGTCCATCTGGTGCAAGTGGAGGTCAAAATGTGCTACAAGGGCCATGATAACCCTTAATGAATCCTTGGTCGAGACCGGTGAGAAAGTCTCATTAAAATCTATTCCTTCTTTCTGTGTGAATCCCTTTGCAACCAATCTTGCCTTATACCTATCTATCTGTCCTTTTGAGTCCAGTTTCGTTTTAAATATCCATTTACTACCAATTGGTTTGCAACCTTGAGGTAAGGTCACAAGCTTCCAGACTCCATTTTTCTCCATTGAATTCAGTTCTGACTTCATTGCTGCAAACCAGTTTTCTTTCTTTTCACTTGTCATGGCCTGTTTGAATGTTGCAGGATCTTCCATGATATTCACATCATGTTCTGCTCCCTGTAGGTATACAAAATAATCATCTCCTAAGGCAGGTTTTCTTTGCCTTTGTGATCTTCTTAGTTCCAAGTTTGGTTCTGGATTTGCAACTTCTTGTGCTTGAGCCATGTCTTGATTTTCTGCTGGTGGTGCTTGATTGTTATTTAACTCCATTGGTTCTGCAATTTCAGGTTCATTGACATTGGTCTCTTCAGTGTGTTCGAGTTGAGTGTTGATTGAATCCATTTGAGGTAATCTAACAATTTCTTTACTTGGATTCTGTGGCATGTCATGGTTCAAGATTATTTCTTCAAAACTGAAACTTTCTTCCTCATCTATTTCTTGGTCAGTTTCTATAAAGACTGCTCTTGAGGTTTCTATGAATATGGTAGTGTGTTTGAGACAATAAAATCTGTATCCCTTTGTTCTTTCAGGATAGCCAACAAAAAAACCACTTATGGTTTTTGGATCCAACTTCTTTTCTGCTGGATTGTAAGGTTTTGATTATGCTTTACAGCCCCATATTTTCAGATGTTTAATGTTAGGCTTCCTTCCATTCCACACTTCATAGGGAATTCTATTTATGCTTTTGGTTGGAATTCTATTTAGAATATAGTTGGCTGTTTTTAAAGCTTCTCCCCAAAGAAAAATTGGCAGATTTGTACAGCTCATCATACTTCTTATCATGTCTTTCAAGGTCCTGTTTCTTCTTTATGAAATTCCATTTTGTTGAGGTGTACCTGGGTTGGTGTACTGAGCTATAATTCCTTCTTCTTGAAGAAACTTAGCAAAGGGTCCAGGATTCCTTCCAGTCTCATCAAACCTTCCATAGTACTCTCCTCCTCTATCCGATCTAACCACCTTTATTTTCAAGTTCAACTAGTTTTCTATTTCAGCCTTATAAATTTTGAACTTGTCCAATGCACTTGATTTCTCTTTAATGAGATAGATATATCCATATCTTGAAAAATCATCTGTAAAAGTTATAAAGTAGTTAAATCCCTCATGAGTTGGATTCGGAAAGGGTCCACATATATCCGTATGAATGAGTTCCAGTAAACCTTTGCTTCCCAATGCCCCTTTCTTTCTTAAATTGGTTAATTTCCCTTTGATACATGGAATGCAAACTTCATCTTCGTTTTCATGATTCAATGGTGGTAAGACAGATTCCTTACACAGTTGTGTTATCCTTTCTTTTGAAACATGTCCAAGTCTTTTATGCCATAATTTGAAGGAAATCTCATTGGTTTTGGTTTGCACAGTGTTTATTTCCATTTTAGTTCTTTTGCAGTTTAATCGAAACATTCCATCAATGAGACTTGCTTTGCCAACTAAATCTTTATTTCTGAAAATAGAACAACCAGTTCCATCAAAATTCAAACTGAACTTTGATTTTACAAGTCTAGTAACTGAAATCAAACTTTTCTTCATAGAAGGAACATAAACTACTTCATCTAATTCCAAAACAAAACCAAATTCTAACTTGATTCTAACTGTCCCTATGTAATTAACTTGGACTTCTTCTCCATTTCCCACGAACACCTTCACTTCATCCTTGCTTGGCAGCCTCTTGCTTGTAAACTCCTGCAAGGAATTAGCTACATGAATAGAAGCACCACTATCCAACCACCATGAATCACATGAGAAATTAACCAAATTAGATTCGAAACAGACCAAAATCAGATTGTTATTACCTTTTCCCTTCTTCTTTTCCAGCCACTTTTTGTATTTCCTGCAGTCTCTCTTCATGTGTCCTGCTTTCTTGCAAAAGAAACAACCTAATCCAATTGTAGGCTTCAAAGCCTTATCTGTATTGTTCTCCTTTTCTTTCCCAGCAGTAGGCTTATACTTTTTTTCTTTGTTCTATTTAGTCTGAACCATGTTGACCATTTTGGCTCCCTTTTCTCTTATGATATTGTGCTCTTGTTGGACATAAATAGTAATAAGATCATTCAAGGTCCAGGTCTCCTTCTGAGCAATGTAGGTTTCCTTGAGAGATTTAAACTCTTTAGGCAATGAATTCAGTGCAAAATGGACCATCATGTCCTCATCTACTGTCATATCCAGCTCTTGTAATTTCGTTCCTATGTCAATCAAGTTCATGATATGAGCTCTCACATAACCCTGTCCATCATACTTCATATCAATCAATTGATTCAGCAGGGAACTCTTGACAGCTTTTTCAGATTCCTTGAACCTTTGTGCAATTGACTCATAGTATTGCTGTGCATTCTTAGATTTAGGAATGCTTCCTTTCACTGATGAAGACATAGCCCTTTGCATGATTAACATAGCCATCTTGTTTGCCTTTTCCCATTTGGCAAACTTAGTCTTAGTTTCTGCAGAAGCATCTGCAGCTGGTTCCTGGGGAGGTTTCTCTCTGAGCACAAAATCGTAATCCAGAAAACCTAGAGATATTTCCAGATCTTGTTTCCATTTGCTATAATTTGATCCAGTCAAGGTTTCGATGGAGTTGTGATTCACTGTAGAATTTGCAATACAAATTAAATAAAACTGTCCCTAAAACTTTACTTAAACATGTTATCTCATACATTTGGATTTAAGTTTAAACATGTTCCAAAATAATAGACAGTTAATCGTACAAGCTTCCTACGCAAGTAACTCACATCTGTGGATGTAAAGATACTCACAAGCCAGTGCAATCAACTGTCCAGATTGTTCCATAAGTGCTGTGATCAATCTGTACAACTTTCCATCTGTGGATGGAGAATCATATAGAAGGCTACGAACACTGATGCAATTTTCTGACCAAACTGTTAAATTCAAGAACTCCTACACAGCCTGAGCAGCTGTGGCTTACTCATTCTGCATAGCAGTTTTCAAATTTTTGGTCAAAACTTTATGAGCAGAGATAACCTTATGCTCTTTTAACAGTTAAGATTTACAAACAAAAGAAAAACTGCATACTTTATAGCTTACGATCAATTAGTCAGATTAAAGAACAAAAGCCTAGAGCTCTGATACCACATGTAAGTCTGTACTAAGCCTTTATGCAATAATACTAACCTTGTTCAGCCATTGAAGCAGAAGAGAAATCTGGTTTCGTCTAGAAAGTCTTCTTCCCTCTGCAGCTCTTGATGTCTCTGTCTCTTAGATAGGGTGAGTACTGATTTTCGAGAGCGTATTTTCTGCAAGGGAAGGGACCTCTATTTATAGATGCATCACTACGAAAGCCTTGCCTATCAAGAAGTATTCGAGTGTCCTTTTTGCATTAGAATAGGTTTGTTTCAATCCATGTTGTATTAGGAATCCTGATAACACTTGTGTTTGATTTTAATAAGTTTTGTACAAGCATTATCTAATGAGGATTGAGTTGTATCTCCTGATCAAACCAAAACCCGAATCCTCTTAGGATTAGAAGATTACCTTTTATGGATTAAGACAATAAATTGTCTTACACTGCTTGCATGTAATTAGAATTTGAGAGAGTGACCAGAATGAGAACCATAGAACATGAGGGAAAGGTTGTTGAAAAAGAGTCCCATCATCATTTTTTACGAACCTTATGTTTTATTTAGGAAATTAATTATCGTTTTTTATGTTTATTTGGAATATCTATTAGAAATTAATTTAGTATGCATGTGTAATCTTTAAAGACTCTCACTCACCTTTTTGTACTTGTAAAATGATGGATGGGCAATGAGCGATGAGACTCTCGCATGGACGACCATCAATTCCCAAGACATTGACACTCTTCAATATCCTAACGAACCCTTTGTCTCCTTAGCCTTCTTCCTAAGAGTTTTGAGTTCTCGAAAAAATCTTTGTTGCCCTCTATTTTTCCATAGCCGGTGAGGCACATGGCATGGAAATCGAAGATCGTATCCTTAACCTCGTATTTCCATATCTCACATTTCTTGTCAAGGCATGTATATCCAAAGAATGTCTAGGGTCCAAGATGCCCTGCATGTAATTATAATTTAAGTAAGTGACCAGAATGTGAACCACAGATTACAAACCTTATGTTTTATTTAGGGAATTAATTATAATTTTTTGTGTCTATTTAGAATATTTATTAGAACTTGATTTTGTGGTTTGAAAACCGTCGAGGTAAATTTTCTCTACAAAATACTGCAAAAGAAAAAGAATAAAAAAAGAAAAAAGAAAATGTGTGATCCTCTAGAGATGATATTGGCTAAATCTAGAAAATGTGTAATCAATAGATATAAAAATAGATTTCCATATATTAATCAAATTAAAGATGAAATCTACAAAGTTCATATTTATCTATTGTTGGATCGCTGTTGTTCTTGCATTGGTTCTGAAGCTGTATCAGTGTTTTCTGTTAATACAAATGAATATAGAACTAATCTAGGAAATGTTTTTGTTGATGCTGTGTATTCTAAGGCTGATGGCACTCTGGAATAATTTCATAGCCCTGATGGGTCTTCTTTCTCTGTTAATGAAGGATGAAGTTTCTAGTATGGAACTGTCGTAGTTGTAATAGGGCTATCTTTTAGAACTATGTTAAGCATTTACATGGATTGTATAAATTTCATAATTTTTTTTTTTTTTTGCATAACCCCTTTCTCTGAAATTTTCCACCTCCTTATATCACGTCCTAGGGTCCTAAAAGTTCTCTGAAAATAACCTAGGACGTCCCAATCCCTAAAGAATAGGTAAAGACATAAAACTAGGAAAGTCTTGACTCATAATCCTTCTTTGACTGGGACAGCAGATTAGTTTCTTTTTATACACGTCTGAGGTAATTCCTCCTTCAGGATCATTTAGGAAAAATATTTAAATTGTAGATCTTTGTCTTATATTTCCAACCATATATTGCACGTCTTGAGAAAAAATCAGGAAAATCTTCAAATAATCATTCTTCCACAGCAGCACAGTTTTGACAAGATTGCACATTGTGTTGACTTAACTTCAAAGACTGCTTTCATTGGCTGCTCCGAAAATTCTATAACAATTCCATAATCATCTTCAAGATTTTAACTTTCATCTCCAATTGGTCTTGTACAAAAAATCCACAAAAAAGTCGTATTTCCGTTGAAAATCAATTAACTGCTTCGAAAAATTGAAAAAATTGAGAAAATAAAGTAATAAGTCCTTTTTAAATCCAATTCTCCTAAAAAACCTAAGCATAAACAATACATAAATGTGTAAATTTATGGACTTATCAAATACTTTACATATTAAGAAAAACCACTAGTACTAAATAAATTGAGCATAAACACATTTCATCATGAAAATTGTTTTATGTAATTTGAAGATGAGGCTAATATTTTGTAGAGATGTGTGGTTTTAATTCACAATTTGACAATATAAGCATTTGTTTAGGAATATAGGTTGATAAAACGTCAGTACTCATTCTATCATTTCACATAATATTTTAAGCACTTTGTCTTCACAATGATCATCATCTTTATTATCTCTTGGATCTTTATGTTTGTTCTATATTATTTGTCATTATCAAACCCAGTTTGTATGATAAAAAGGTGTGTATATATATATATATATGTATATATATATATATATATATCTCGTACAATCAATTTAATAGAAATGTACCCATCAAACTGCTTGTGGTTCTTTATCCAAATCATAACTTTTGATGTAGACAAAAGGATTAATCAATTAACTACTTTTATTTCCACATCTTCCAAAATCAACCAATAAATTATCAAATAACAAAAGACCTAAAAATCAAGGCTAAGTGCATCTCCAGAACTCCAATGTCTTGCCTTCTCAAATCCATTGACACAATTGTCAAAATCATCAATGGTTTGGTCAATCTCTTCTTGAGTGTTCATCACAAAAGGCCCATATTGTGTTATTGGCTCACCCAAAGGTTCACCTCCGACTAAGATAAATCTAAGGGGCTTGGAAGATTTGTTCCATGCCTCCAAGCCATCCCCAGATCCAAGAAGGAGAAGATGGTGGGCTGTCACTGGCAAAGATTTTGGACTTCCAAAAATACCCTCACCCTCCAACACATACACAAATGCATTCCATGATACTTGTATTGGCTGTTGCAAAATAGCCCCTGATTTCAGAGTGAAGTCCAAGTACATGGTTGGGGTCCTTGTGTAAATTGGTGACTTTGTTCCCAAGGCCTCTCCAGCTATTACCCTAACTTTCACCCCATCTTTTGCAGCCTCCTTAATGTCCTTGCTCAGCATTTCTTGGTACTTTGGCTCAATCCTGTGTTAACAAAATTTACATAATGATTATAGATTAGAAAGAAAAAAAGCTACCTAATTCGAAGAATACTATTTGATTGTGACAAGGACTTCTGTCACTTTTTTAATGAGTTAAAAGCAAAAATGATGGTGTGAAATAAAAGCTGATCAACCACTATCAAAGTCTTAGCTCCATTTGTCAAAACTTTATCCTAAGTTTCCAAAAGTTGAAAGCTATACCAGCACTAGCAAATGATGTATCATCACAGAACAGAAGATTTCTTGATGACCACGGAATATGAGGGTAAAAAGCCCATAGGATTTTAGTATGGCTAAGATATTTCAGGCTGGCCTGCACACACAGAATGTGCGCTGCATTCAAAAGCACTTTTTGAAAAGGATTATATCCCATCATGACAAATGACATAAGTATTCCATATAAATATTCGGGTAATATTCTCTTATCATACTAGTAGTGTAAGACGTTCACGCTGAATGTTGTGAATCTACACTACATATTCTGATAAAAACTTACTCAATCAAATAGTTTAAATTCACAACTCGTAACATAAGCATTTTATGTTGCTAAACTGCCTCGCAAAAGAATGTTTTCCTATTTATGTTTCAAATTAGTATACGCTTTATAATGAACCCTAGATGACATCAAGTATATGTCATAAAGTCGACTCACACCCTTCATACATATCCATGGACCATGGTCAATAAAAATACAGAAGAATATACATACATTTTATGTTTGGAGGAGAGGTTTATCCACAACTGCAAACCCTTTTGGGTTCCCTGGGCCGCGGGCATTTCTGAATGAACAATACCTCTTCCTGCGGTCATCCATTGTAAGTCACCGGCTCCTATTGTCCCTTTGTGCCCTTCAAAGTCTTCATGTGTGACAGCTCCCTGATCACCCAAAACCAATTTCATTCAACTAACGTAAGTCTATTTATCATACAAATAGCCTTCATTAATCAGACCCTACCCATATACAGTTCACATCAAAGAAAATAGTAACCAAAAAAAAAAAAAAAACAAGGTCTGGAAGGCTGACCTTGCCAGTCATGCAGTGAACGCTATTCGAATTTTGTATTATTTTTCATTGAAATTAAAACGTTACGTCCTAGATTAAAGGTTTGATTCCCTTCCATTGAAAAAAATAAAAAAATGCATAACAATTTGACTAATTAATTTTGTACTAAGCCACATTGAACATGTTTATTTGAAAAAAGTCACATAGAACAGTTAGGTGAGGGAGACTTTAGTTTCCAGGTGGTTCATTTTTTTAATTACAAAAGAAAAAAAAAGAGGTATTATTATGTCTTAGTCCACTGCGGAAGTTTTCAGGTAATTAATTTACAAGAAACTGATTAGCTGGAAAGGTAACTTAAACAGCAAATAAATAATTATAAAGACTTTATACCTGCAACATGTAGGTCACTGTCTCAAACCCTGTAATTTAAGAAAGAAAGAAAAAGAAAAAAAAAAAAAAATTAGAATTCAACCCGATATTAATCTCAATGAGCATAGCTAATTACAAGGACGGTGATGAAGACCTCTGTGTGGGTGATCAGGAAACCCAGCAGGAGCAGAAACTGCAATTGCAAAAGAAAATATTAGAAAATAGCTGTAAACAAACACATCTATTACATTTACATACAATAAAGAAACAGAGAAAAACAGAGCTGCCCACCTGAGAACTCATCCAGAACAAGAAAAGGATCAAAGTATTTCAGCTCAAACCTGCACAAAAATGCAACAACCCATTGATTCAAACATCTCAAATTCCCCAATCTTTCCCTTCATTTGAATGAAAACAAGAACTTTTCTGGTCTTGAATGAAAGACAAGAACTTTTCTGGTCTATCTGTCATGAACTC